AACTAAGTGTATACAAGGGACCATTTCCAAAAATGGAAAGAGGTGAGCAGGGCCACTGTGTTTGATTCAGTACATGAGCAATATCTCATCAAATAGAAAAGAAAGGAGGTTCTTATTTTATATTCTAACTTGTTAATATCAGTAATTTGAGTTCCTAATTCATAGGAACTATAGACTTTGTATTTTGACATCACAAACATCTAATTTGAACCAGTGCTGAATTCAGCATATCACATGACACACACAAAAATTAATGTTTAAGTGTTTTTTAATATTTACTTTAAAATTAAGAAACTGAATAATGTATAATACTAAAAGTTGAATTATAACCAACAGTTTGATATCAAATTTAATGACATAAATTCATTAAATAGTAGTTCAATAAAATTTTGAATGTGAGTCAACAAATGCAATGACATGGCCTTTGACCTGTGTGGAAAGTTAACCCTTTGGAGTCTGGAAATGTGAACATGCAGTGTGTGGATATTTCAAATCAAAAGCTATGTTTAATGGAGAAGGAAAAGTGGTCTGTACATCTGTTTTTATTACCACTGTTACTTAAGCTGTGATTTAAGACAACTTTGTACAATGTCACTATGAGATGATATAGGATATTTTATTTTTAATTTCTAGGCACAGTCACCTGGATTTCAAGAACTAGAAGAACTTAGCATTGCTTTAGAGAGTGACTACCAATCTGGTCTAAATGATGCAGGTCTTGAAAGGTACAATTCATATCACAAATTTTAGAAAAGTAGTGGTGTAAGATTCTGTATTAGAAGAAACAGGGGTATTAAAATATTACCAAAAGAGAGAGAGATTTTATTAATGGTATTTGCTCGGTAATAACTATGTACTAGTTTTTTTTTTAAATTAAAGCTGTAACTTGTTTTACATTTGCCTTTTGTTTAAAAGTAGTTGATGGTGAATAATGTCTGGTGGTTGAAATCAAAGTAAAACAATTTTGTGGTGTGGTGCACGACACTCATTGTTATTTTTTGTACTTAGAATCACAAAAAAGTCCCATAAATTGAAGCTACTGGATGTGAGAGGTTGTCGTAACATATCTGTATCAGGGTTGATTCGTGTACCAGCATGGGATATTCAACATCTTTATCTTGCTCAGAGTGCTGCAGCACGGATGTCTAATCTGGAGCTAGTCCTGCAGAAGGTAACAAGAAAGCCCATGTGTTTTGTAGTTTTGTAATTGAATGGAAATTTATGCCTAATCTGGAGCTAGTTCTGAAGAAGGTAACAAGAAAGCCCAAGTGTAGTTTTGAAATTCAAGGGAAATGTTTAATCTGGAACTAGTCTTGCAGAAAGTTAAAAAAAAAAAGTTCATGTGTGCTGTAGTTTTATTGTTCAAAGAAACCTAATGTCTCACCTGGAACTAGTTCTGTGAAGGTGACAGTAAAATCCATGTATTTTGTATTTTTGTTGTTCAAAGAAACCTATGTTACAATGAATTCAAGTGTGATTATCATTGTATTTATGTGGTCTTTAACTCACCTCTTATTATAGTAGTAAATTTTCTTTTTATTACATTTAACTTTGTTTTTTTTAAGTAGTTTCAATATTTCTACTGTGTTTAATTGTTTTGTAATTTATTTATTATTTCATATCTTGAATTTCTTCATAAACGTTAGTTTTTTTACTGTACCTTTCTGCTACTCAACTATAGTTAAACAATAACATGTTATAGTAATTTTTCTCAGAAGTCAGGCTGCTCTGAAATTAGTGTCTGAATTATTTAATGGGCTTTTATTTACCACAGGACATTGTTGGAGGGGATCATATTGTTAGGGAGGAAAATAGGTGATAGAGCATAAAGCAAACAACTAGGTTTTACATTTTTTGTAAATGAGTTGTACTCTATTCTCTCTTTAATATTACTTTCTCTAACAGAATTAAATCTCCTAAACTGGCTGAAATTTGTGTGATATCATTGTGATCACAACCAAATATATTACTAACAGCAAAGTTATACAGTTGATGAAACAATGTATTTAACTGGACTCATTTTTAGTACTGATCTGTATAGATAGCATATGTTGATCAGAAGTTAATTTTCTGATTCATATATAAATATACGTTACTGAAAACAATTGTTAATGATTCATTTCAACTTTCTTTTGTTTTATTGGAGGTAATATTCCAAAGCAGTTTTTTTTTATGGTTCTGATACGATTACTTACCTCCTCTCACAGATACAGTTCTTCTCGATTTGACTACCCTCTAGTGAATACAGCCCACAAAAACCATTCACGTGTAAAATTAGTTAAGAAGCATGTCAATGGTTTTCAACTACTAACCTGTATACAAAGATTGAGGAATTTCTTAGTTTTGTCAAACATGATTAAAGCACGTGTCTTCTTTTGTTCCAACCCGATTCAGGAGCATGGTCAACAGTCACACACGAAAATAAGCATAATATATATATAAATACAATAATAATTAATAAAAAGAATATATTCTAAACAACATCTGTCATTTTAATTGTTGTAGAATTTGTCTAACATTTTGAATTATGTTTTTGTTAATCATTTCAATACATTTTGAATAATAATTACAAATGTTAAACCTAACTCATACCCAAGTTACATTTTGGTTAATCGCTGTTGATTGTTAAAATCTGCTCAAATTGCTTGACCTTTATAGAATGTAAATTTCATCATGTTATCTACATAACAAAATTGAAATAAGGAATTCAGCAATATTTCAAGTAGTTTGGTCCAGAAAAAAAAATTATAACAACATTTTAACTAAAATGTTAGTGGTATGATCTTATTTGATGAAACGAAAATAATTTCATTAATTTTCTTCCTAAAACATTGGTCTAAATGGATGTCTGTGTAGCTTAGTGTGCATTCCTTTTGTGTTTAGATGTTTTTTGCTACAAATTAGATGACAGTGGACTTTGATATGCATTAAAATGTAAAATAACTTCAACTGTGCTTGTAATCTGTTTGAAAACGTTTAGTAAATATTTGAGGATTAACTTGGAAATTATAAAGTAATAACCAATTAGTTTTTGACATAATTTGATCAAAATGATATGTTATTCAAGTTTCTTTATATATATTTTGTTTAATATTACAGTGGAGCCATAGTTTAGAAGTTGTTGACCTGTCATGGGCTAATAATGATGAAGCAATAAATCAAGGTATAGAAGCTTTGGCTACAGCAGAGAGAGGTTGTCTGATTCGAACACTTGACCTTAGTGGTAGTGCTGTTTCCTACTCTGCCATCAAGTAAGCTTTAAAGCTCATTCAAAATGTTTAAATATAAAATATGTTTTATTTTTATCTTATAACCTAACATAATGTCTCAGGACAACAAGGGACCTATTAATCCATCTTGCCTATCCCATCATTAAAAACTATTAAATAAATAAATCTTAAAACTAGCCCTTATGATTCCTATAGTTATCAAGCTTTCTCTTAAACACACTTGAATTTACTGCCTCCACAACATCCTAAGATAACCCATTCCAGAGGCCAACCACCCAGTTAGAAAAATAAAACTGTCTTAGCTGAAGATGACTCCTACCCTCCCAAAATTTATATTTGTGTCCCCTAGTCCTACTATTCTCACTGTCAAGTATGAAAAATGATGATGCATCAACACTATCAATTCTGTTTACAATCTTAAATACCTCTATCCGATCCCTTCTAACTCTTCTTATTTCAAGAGAAAACAATTTGAGAGATTTCAGCCTCTGCTCCTATGACAACCCCCTCCATCCCAGACACCATTCTAATAACCCTTCTCTGAATCTGTTCAAAAAATTCAGTGTCTTTCCTAAGGTAAGGATCCCAAGACTGAACACATTATTCTAAATGTGGCTTCACCAGGGACCTATACAATGAAAGTATAACCTCTTTTGACTTATATTCAATATTTCTGTTGATACAACCTAAAGTCCTGTTTGCCCTACCACTAGCAAAAGTACATTGCTTGAATGGCTTTAGAGACTGATCGACTATTACACCAAGATCCCTTTCCTTCATAACACTGTTAAGGTTATTCCCATCCAAATTATACTTATAATTCAAATTATGATAACCCACATACATTATCTTACATTTATTATAATTAAAACCCATCTGCCATTTACTTGCTGAACTGACTAAATTATCTAAGTTTTTTTGTAAATCAGCAGCATCCTCTTCACAGCTAGCAACACCCAAGACCTTAATATCATCTGTCAATTTAAGTAATTTATTAACTATTCCTTTATCTATGTCCTTGATGTAAATCAAAAAGAGCAAAGGTCCTAAGACTGAGCCCTGAGGTACCCCACTTGTGACATTAATCCAGTTTGACTGAACTCCATTTGTAATAACCCTCATGTTTAGTTCTTCCATATTGATATAAAATATGTATTTGTTTTAAAAGAAACTGGGAAGAATCCTCAGAATAATAATTTCTTTATAGAACACTTTTGAGCAAATGTCACACCCTTTGTACACTAAATCTTCAGTCCTGTCGAAGTCTGCCACGAGGCATGAAACGTCTGTACAACAATCCTGAACTTCTTCGACTTCGTGAAGACATCATTTCTGGGAAGTTTGAAGAATATTTGTAAAATATGCTCCAGTGAACTGCCGAATATATTACTTTACGTATGTAAATATTTTATTATTCTTACAAGATTCTTGAGGACATAATGTTTTACAGTTCTTTTTATATTATTTTTTCATATTACCTGTTTCATATCACATTTTAAAATGTATTGTTAACGATATTTAAACATTATTTGTTAGATTCAAAAAAAATTATTATTTTAACACAGTGAATAGACATATTATCTGACACTTTTAAGGATCTCTTTAACTTTTAGAACTACATGTGATTTATATATCATGATCAACATAATTGAAAGTAGTAATTTTAATTGCAGTAAATCACTTTAGTGAGCTGGAAATATTTGATTTCCTTACCTTTTGGATAAAAGTATCTGATGTAAATAAATGCAAGAGCAAAATTAATTGATATTTGTTTGATACTGTGAACAGTAGTACAAAAAGGGGATAACTTAGTACTAAAATCACCAAAGATGATACCACTGATTTTGCCATAATATTTTCCAGGATTTGTTCTGGAACATGAATATTATTTTATGTAGTTGTCATTTGTGATGATATTTTAAAAATTGCACTTTTATCAAAATATATATATATATCATGCCAAGTATGTGTAATATACTTTTTCTCAAAAAAACCATTGGAAACACTTGCATCTTCAGTAATTGAAACTATTCAAAAAGAAAGAGATTGAGATGC